AGCAGCCTAAAAAGACTAGCCTCTAACTATAATTTAGGCTCTAACCCTAACCTTTAGCTTTAAAATTAGAAGTAAAATTTTCGATAGATCATACAATAACATTGAAAAACATATAGTGGTGAACTTCACCGCTAAATAAATTCAAAAAAGATTTTTATTGACTAATAAAACTGTTATTGGATGCTACACATCCAATAACTATTTAATATTTATATAAATTTTAATTTCATAATTTAATTTGATTAGTAAAATCTTTATCCCAAGCAGTCCTGTATATCAACAATCTAATAGAAGAGACAATAGACATCGAATTTTATGTTAATTATAGTGAATTTATTTCTAAACATGAACAAAGAAGTAGTTATAACAATGTTTCTCATTATTTAACAAAATTGAAAAGAAAAACAGAATATTTCTTGAACAATATTTGAAAAGTAAACATGGCAATTCTTTAATTTATTACTATGCACTTTATTTATATGAGGGTATTGGTGGTGCCAAGGATAAGAATAAAGCAATAAAATTAATCAATGAATATATAACCAAATTTGCTGATAACGGTGATTCTAGGGTTCAATTTAATATAGGTGATCTATATTTTAATTGTAAATTAGAACTTCAAATTGATAAAGAAAAGGGTGAAAAATATCTAATGTTAGCAGCTAAAAATAGTGATAAAGATGCAATTACTTTATATGAAAAGAATAAAATAAACTTTATCAATAAACAAAATTATTTTGAAAAATTTAAAATTGCTCGAAATATTCATAAGTCAAGAAATATAAATAATGGACAAGAAGTAGAAAAAATAAATCGCAAACTCTTTGATAAACTCTATAAAGAAAAATATCATGAATTGGATTAATCAGGTCAAGTGACCTATTGGATAGGATATTATTTTATGAAAGGATATAGAATTGGCAAAAAACCAACAGAGGATGACATATAGAGATGTGAACCGAACATTGAACAGATAATATAAATAATCTATGGGTTACTTTAAACCGATGAATATCTACAGATTTAAAGTAACCTGTAGATTATTTATATTATTTGAAATTTACGAGTCACATCACTAATGACATAAATAAATATAAAGTTTTATTAAAGCTAGTAGCTGATAAAAACCTTCCAAATGCTCAGCAT